AATGCTGTTTTTTAACTGTTTTTTTCTCCTGTGTTTAATTGTCCTATTTAGTGGGTTTCTTCTGTTCTCGTTGGTGTAGTTCTGATCATTTTGGTCCCTCTCTAGAACATCTTTCAGTAGTCTGTGTATGGTTGGTTTTGCCATCACGAAATTCTTTAGTTGTTCTTTGTCATGAAAGTATTTGACTTCTCCATCAAACTTGAAAGAGAGTTTGCAGTTTATAGTAGTCTGGGTTGGAATTTTTTTTCATAAAGGACTTGAAGTTTTCTGCTCCATGCTCTTCTTGCCTTCATAGTTTGTGAAGAGAAGTCGGCCATAATTCTAATGGGTTTTCCTTTGCATGTGATCTGCTTCTTTCTCTAGCGGCTTTCATTATGATATTCTTGTGTTGGATTTCTGGGATCTTAACTATTATATGTCTTGGTGTGTTTTTAATTGGGTTGAAGTTATTTGGAGTTCTGTATGCTTCCTTTACCTGGGTATCAGATTGTTTCCTCATATTTGGGAAGTTTTCTGCTACTACTTCTGCCCATATTCTTTTTATATCATTTGTATTGACTCCTTCCTTATCATTGATGCCTATTAGTCTCACATTGTTCATCTTTGCATCATCTTGCAGGTGATGAATTTTTTTCCTGCATCCTAGTTGTTTTTAAAAGATCTTTTCTTACCTTTTCACCAATTAATTCTGCTCTGTCCTCTGCACTTGTTATGGGTGGGCTTGATGCCTGAGATTGCATTTTGCTCCTTGTCTTTATCATTTCGTTTAACACTGACCTTGGCCTTTGGTGTAGAGCTTTGGTGCAATTATGTCCTTATCACTTAATGAAATTCAGGTACTGATATACCAAGTTCTAGTTCATGGAGTTGTGCCTGGTTTGGCTTTGGCTACTGTGCTCAGCTCCTTACTATTGTTGCTCTTGGAGGTGGGCCTGCTGTATCCCTCTGGTAAGATGTTCTGTTCCTGGATTAGCTGTGTGGTTTTGACCCTAGTCTCACTGCAGGGAATTTAACTGCAGGGTTTTACCTCAAGCCTGTATGCTAGGTCTGGGCTGAGTCTAGAGGGGTATGAGGAATGGGGGCAAGAGAGCGCAGAAGCTCTCCCACACACTCACCGGTGTTGTGTTTTGGTGGGTCTGCAGGACTCCCAAGAGCACAGCGGAAGTTCTTACTCAGATGGTGGGGCGGGGAAGGTCGGGAGAATGCAGGGAAAGGCCTCTCTCACGCAGCAAGCCTGGACTTGGCGTGGCAGGCGGGCACAGGACAGAGCAGAAGCTCTCCCCCACACTCGCAGGGCCTGGGGTTGGTTGGATGTGGAGGGCCCAAGGTGCGGTGGAAGTTCTCACTCAGAAGGCGGGCTGTGCTGGGTCTGG